TACTATTATAATTATAAATAATAACTATTAAAGTAATTAAAGATAATAATTATAAATGTAATTAGTTCTTACTACCATTATAAAAAAAAACATCCTAATCTACTTGAGTTATAGTCCATTTCATTAACAAAATTCATTGAACAATAACAACTACGTACTAAAAAATAGCTGAAACAGGATTTAAAGTATATTTTGTTGTGTTACGATCCTTATTGAAATTCACTATATGATAATATATAGTTCTAATTCTAGATTAAACCTCTGATGAATAAAAGGGTACATATATTTGCTATAGATATTTAGTATTAGTATTTATGACAAATATCTGTGTCTCTTGTTGTGTATCTTTTTGTTAACTTAGCATATATTTTATTAAAAATAAATATTTCTGAAATCCTTTGACTTATTTTTAATATCTACTGAATGAAAAAAATAAACTATAAATGTTCCTTACCCAATCGTTCTTTTCAGTAAATCACTATTATACCATATACCAATACCATATAGATATTTACAATATCTTAGACCCTGACTCTATGCTGACTAAGTGGATCTCAATTTTTGTAATCACCATCCTAACTATCTTATATTGTATACAAATTTAACAAATTCACACTCGGTAAAATAATAAAAATTTATTTTTATTAAATTTCAGTTCTTCAAATCAAAAGCAAACATTCTATTTCTTACTCACATAATGGCTAATTTAACACAATCTCTTCAATAAATTTTATCACCAACTAACAATATATGTGAGCACATTCCTTCTCCGGATTTTGTGTGTTTTTTATATTTTTATATACAATAATTATTTGAATGTCGTTAGTTTGGTAGGTATATTAGGTTAGTTGTAGAATAGTTGTCATTACGAGGTTTATATAGAGAGTACTGTAAAGTATGGGTACAAACAACTCAACAATCACAAAATTAACAATAAAACTATAACAAAAACGGAACACTATGAATTTTACTTATAAACGTTATATGTTTTAAATGTACCAATAAATATTTTATTGAAACTATGAATTTACAATGAAATCTTTTAAAAAGCGTATAACTTTACACAAAGTAATAAATAAAATAAACCAATAAATATAAAAATTTAAAATTAATGATATTAAATATTAAAACAAATAACGTTATATAGGTATTTATTCATTTTTGCAATTATTTTTCCAATGAATTTTATTTTCAATTCAATGACATACTTGTACAAAAAAGAACATAAAATTTAAATAAATTATTTGAAATTATAATTAACACAAATTACAATATTAATATATTGTTAGACACCAACATTAAAATTATTAACATACAAAAATAAATAATAAATAATTAAATACATTAAATTATAAACATTACAAAATATGCATATAAAATAAATGAATTTTAATATAATACAAGCTGTTTTCAAATAAATTATTCATATTAATAAAAATTAAAACATATAGCTTAAAAAATGATTTTTATAAATAGTTTTGAATTTTTAACAAACAAATATACCAAGTAAATACTTCATAATTTATATTTTAATAGCACAATTAAAATATTTTTAAAATGATTGGTTAACAAAGTTTTCTTTCAGTGTACTGAATTATTTAAAAAAATTAATTTTATTTCTTACTTAAAATCATTCTATTGTAAATGTATATATAAATTAATATATTATTCCTATCAATTATATTTATATAATTTAATATTCACTAAAAAATAATATATAAATAGTATAAGATAATATGGAGATTACTTAAATATCGGTAAACATATTTCAGTTCTCATATATATAATAAAATAAACGAATACGAAAAATAATACCTTAAAAAGATAGATATAAGGAAAGAGAGGCATAGGGGAGAAGACGAGATTGACAAAGGGAGAAAGAGAGGAAAGGGGGAAAAAAAATTTAAGGACAAATGATTTCATAAAAACTGGAGTAAAAAGGAAGGGACAGTGGAAGGGATACAGAAAGAAATAGAGAGATGTAAAGATAAAAGGAAAAGAGAAAAATGGAGAGAGAGACAAAGAGTCACATATAGTACGGATGTATCAAATTGAAAATCTAATATATCTGTACTATTGAATAAAAAAATAAAATGTGTTGATAATATTTAGGTTACAGAACTCAAGATTTATATGATACAAAGAAATAAAATATATAAGCTCTAGATAGATTTGTAACAAACTATTATTTATAAGGTGAAGTCTGATTTTTAATATTGAACTATTTTTAATATGCAGAAACAGAAGATTTCTTTAAGATGTTGTTGTTAAGACTTTTTTTTATCAATTAATCAAAAGATATTTAGTATGGTCTTACCTTAAGGCACGAATCAATTGCACTAGCCTAAAACATTTATTAATAAATAAATTTGGGACTATTTAAAATTTTTTGAAGAACTTTTTGAAGAACTCTAAATTAAATAGTTAAAATTTGAAATTGATTATACTTTTATCATTCAATAACTTCATGATGCACTCTTAGTGCATATGAACATATGTTGTCCTGCGATTTATTTCTTGTGCCATCAGCCTCTTGTTCTTTGATGATGAGATAAGTCCATAGTTAAGAAGAATAAAGTGGAGCAAATCATTCCGTGAGTAGCATTTGAAGCAAATTTTGATGGAAAAGGAGGATAAAGGTTCTTTGCTCTACCGGGAAAAGATGGTACTGATCTAAGATGGTTAATAAGTTTTTAGAACAAAATCGTCCAAAAACTGTGCTTAAAATGGAGGAATAATAGATTAAAACTTGTTTCAATGTTCATATATAGCTAAGACTTGGTGTTTTATAAAAAACTTTTATTCGTTATATATTAGTGCAATGTTATACAGGCAGCCATGGTCACAACGAATATGAAATTTTCACACTGACGAGGTTTTCTGTACCCCGTTACGTTAGTCAAAACACTATTGTTTTGATAGTTAGAAATAATAGTTAGAAAATGTGTTGTTTTAGAGAAAATATTAGCTTTTAAAATTAGGGATATCAAAAAATATTAAAATAATAGTATAACATTTTTTTTGATCATGACCATAAAGAGCTTAAAAGTGCCGCCACCATTCGTCATATAACTGTCTAAATAACATTCTAAGAGATCAAAAATTTTAGTCGCTTTGGGAAATAATTGGATGGTAAATGTGATCTTCCAGGGAAACCTAAAATAAATCTTCCAAATAACTTTTTCAAAGCTTATTTTATAATCATATGTCAATATAAAATTTTATCTAAAAAATAGTTTCAAAAATAAACAAAATTTATTCTTAAAATTTAAAGATTTCCTTAAATATTTTACATTTATATTATTAAATTAAAAGTGATCTAAAATGGTATTTTATATAGTATGAACTACCAATAAAAAAATCAAAAATTGTCTCTCTCTCAGCGTCAATATATCTTATAATTCATGATCGAATATTTGTAATATAATATTTATAATAGTTATAATATAATTATATTATTATTAATAATATTCGATTAATTATTACAATTCTGAAATCTTCGTTTGATTTGTGACATTTTCATATTACATTACTTACATGATTTAGATAAAACTATAAAGATATTTAAAAAAAAAAGGCAAAAACATTTTCTCCAATACAGATAAACTCTTGAAATATTTTAATTTGAGACAGACCTTGAGATAATTATTAATAGATGTGTGTGACTAAACTTAGTCCTACAATAGAATAGTAAATTAAATTATGGAAAAAATATTTAAAGTATGTGGTATAGTTGAGTAATAAAAGAGAAATTTTAAATTATTAAATACAAAATTTATATAAAAGATTTGTGATATTTTCAGTCTTTAAAAATTTTTAGAACCGATTGATTTTTTTTATCAATGATAGTGGGGAATACAGTGAAAACTCTCTTGAGTGGACAGTCATTGATAGTCACTTTCTGTTCGATTTGGAGAGATTTTCGAGTAAAAACTGTTCCAAATAATATGGAAAAGAAAATTTGTCTTTAGAAATGCTCTTCACCCAAGATAGATGTCCCTTCAAGAGGGGGCTATCTTATAAGTGCTATCACTGTATATACATATTTATATATTAAAATAATGAAATTATTAATTTTTATAAATAATAAAAATATTAAAATTAATTCAAAAGTTTTTTGAACAGTAGTAAATTACAACAACAAAACTATTATTTTTAATTAATAGAGAGGTTTCAAACAACTAAAATTATTTTTATATATTTTTTTAATTAATTACATTTTTGGCTGACCATACAGCTGTTGCGAGTATTGTTAAATACCCATCATCAATGGTCTTGGATATAATTCTTATATTTAATTATTTGTAAATAATTTTTTGAGACTGCAAGTACCAGAGACCGAACTTGTGCCCTTGGCAATACTCGAAACAGTTGTATGGTCAGTCAAAAATTCAATTAATTAAAATAATATAAAAAATAAAATTTTTGTTGTTATAGTTCACTACTGTTCGAAAAAACCTGATTATATTTTTTATTAATTAAATTTTTAACTGTTCAAATAACCTTTATATTAAAAAATAGTTTCTAATAAGAAAATACTTTCTTTTGTCATAATTGATTTTAAATATCAGATTTAAATGTTAATTTATTTCAACAAAATCTCAATATTAAAACTATAAAATACACAAAAAATTTACTAAAAATTACAACAATAAATTAATTAATTATCTAACATAGATTTTTATAAGTAGTTAAAATTAATTCATATTCAATACATATAATTCTCTAAAATAATTTGTTTAACAGTAATAAACTATATAATTAACATTGTTAACCAATTTTTATTTGTAATTTGGCAGCAAGTTTTATGTTTATTTGATAATTAATTTATCAGTACAGATTTAATTTATTTTTTTTTCTTAATGGAATAAATAAAACAACAAAAGCACAAAGAATACACAGTTACAAACACAAAAAAATTTTTTTTTTTTTGTACAAAATACATAAACACAACACGAAAAGCAAATAATATATTTTGTTTTTGTTTTTATTTAGGTCTTAAGTTTTTGTTTGTTTATTTAGAACAGAAAATCTAAAACATTGAAAATAACGGTGACAAAATTATTACTTCCGCTGTTGCTTGTGCTGGCATTATGACGACCGCCATTACTGCCGCTAACATTGCCGCCAGTGGATCTGTTATGTGCCTGTAATGTGGAATTTAATGACTGATAATGTGAAGCTGAAGAGGAATCAGAGCGCAAACGCTGACGATTAGTGCCACCCAAGCGCCGTCGCTGTGACATGGGTGTCGAGTGGCGAAAGCGTGATGTAAACACATAGTCCACTTCTTCAGCTTCGACTGGCATGGATATTGCGTCAGTGGCAATAGCGGAACCGCTTATCGATTGATGTAACAATGACGTAGGCGCGGTATTAGTTATGCTAGTATTTGTGACATTCGGTGTGGCGAAAGGAAAATTAAGTTCATCCGCTGTAGCCACAGTTGAAAAACTACAATTCAAGTCACTTACGGAATTGGCACGTGTGGATAGTGTCTGCTTGCGTGGACTATGATACAATTTGGTAGGTGTTTTTGTGTAAGTGCTTAAAAATGTGGAGAGATTCGAATTAATGCAATTACCAATTGTCGGATCATCATAGTAGCCACGTACCACAAACTCATCATCAGCGCCCACAAATGAAACATCATCGTGATCATCATAATGCAACGCATCAGTGGAGTAATAATGTGAATTACAAAGTGATTTTGTATTTGTGTGTGTTTTAGTGGTTTGTGCATGCATTTGTGGAATGTATTTGACATTATTATTATTACTGTTAATGTTACTGTTACGATTACTGTTATTGTTACTGTTACTGTTACTGTGACTGTGACTGTGACTGTTACAACTCATATTGGACAAATCCAATGATGTACGTTTCTGTTTGGAGTGTATTTTGTTGATTTTCATTAAATGTTGACGATTACTTAGTGTGTAATTAAGAGAAAGATTATTTTCTTTGTTGCTGCTGTTGTTATTGAATTTTGTATAGTTTATGTTGTTGTTATTGCTGTTATTGTTGTTATTGTTACTGTTCGGTATGTAGTTATGATTATTATATATGTTACTGTCAATACAAGATGTAGTAGTTGTACTTGTTGTTATATCATGATAATTCTTATTATAACTGTTATTAGTAGAATTGATAGTAGAAGTATTGGATGCAACATAGCTACCGGAATTTGTATCTGCAAATAGGCGACGATTTCCTCCAATTGCTGCAAATGCATTGTTGGATTTTTCAACATCAGCTACTTGTTGTGGTATTAGAAATGCTCTTCTTTGCATTGCTGTGGAATGTAAATGTGATTCATAATCAAAGCTTTCGTCCGTGTCCATATGCTCTGGTTGTAGATACTGCTTTGGTTGTTGTTGTAACTGATGCTGACGTTTTTTGTGATACATATAGAATGCACTGCCAGCTACCTCATCATCTTCATCATCATCGCCAAAATCAGTGCAATGTGGTCGCATATCTCTAGTGCTGCCACCACCTAAATAACGTTGCTGATTCTGATAATCATCGTATTGTTGTTGCTGTTGTTGTTGCTGCTGTGTGACGGCGAGACAACAGTTGCTACATGTATTTGGCAATTGCAATGCAAGACCGTCTTTAGGACCCAAGAACCATTCTGAACGTGTGCGCATGCGTGCAGTTTGGCGTTCATGGACCTTTTTTATTGCAATTTTTCATATATCAAATTTAAACATAGTTAATTTGTATAGCATTTTTAAAATTGTAATTTTATTTTTTAATTTGTTGTAGAGTTGAACGTGTTGTAGTTGTTGTTGTGATAGTGGACGTTGTTGTAGCAGTGATAGTAGCGTTGGTGGTAGTTGTGATGGTGCACACGAGCGACACATTAAAATACAATACGAGTATGTTTTTATAGAGCATCATAACGGAGTTGGTGTGTAAGTGAAAAGGGGATTTACAAAAATAAAAGTACTTAATTTTGTTAATTGTTTTACGTAATTTCAACTAAATTTCATTTGAAACAATAATTTACTTTAAAAGAAAATTTTTAAAATATTTAAAATAAAAATCAAAATTTTAAATAAAATTTTAAGTGCTTGATATATATATATATGTTAAGAATATGTAGTAAAATAAAGTTGAGTAGCAAGAGCAAAAGTTTAATTAAAAAAGCAATAAAGAACACGTTTTCATATATAGCAAACATGGCCGACATAAGCACACACACAACTTCATTTAATTATGCATTTTAATGATCTGCATTCATGTCAAATATGTATTTCAAAAAGTTTCATTAATTACAATATATTTAACAGCCAATTAATATAATTTATGTTTTAAGCCAATTCAAATGTGTTTATGGTAGTACGAGTTGCAGCATTGCAGTGCCTTTAATGTGTAGATTGCGCAAAAGTATCCAATGGACAAACAACAAGTGTAGTGGAGTATGAGTGGAAAATAAAGTTAAAAACTACAATCAATAAAAATTTTATTAAACTATAAAATAAATAAAACTAAAAATAAATTCTTAGTCTATCACTACATATACACAATAAATGCTTTATCTGCATAATAAAACTAATAAAGTTCTGACATACTTGAATACATCATACGATAATGCCTAAGCTTACTGTTTTGGCAAACGGTCCTCACCTTTTCACTTCTATATTTTATTTTAAAAATAAGTTAATAACTCAAAAAACTTTTTTATTATACGTAACGAGACTATTTAAATTTTATTTTTAGATTTAACAATAGAAATATATATCATCATCAGTTCCATTATCTTCCTCTGGACCATATGGTTACCAACAATATATATACATACATAATCTGAATCTTTCAATGAAAATATGTATAACATAATTATAATTAATTGTATAAGAAAAAATAATAACTAATACACGTATTTGTAGCATTTTCGAGAAAAAAACTGTTCTGAAGATCTATGGTACCTTACGGGTTGGCAACTGGCATCGTTATAATTGAATGGAACAATAAGCAGTATGAATTATATCGCGACATTCACACAGTTAAGCGCAAAAGAAAAAACTCAGCAGCTTTACTGGATTGATTATATTAAGATATTTGCCTCGGCACCCACTGGTGAAAAATGTGATAGAGGACATCACATCTTCGGTGGAAATATCAAGTGCCAAACGATATGAAGGAGTTTGATAGTTCAGTACTATCAACTAGTGATAAAAAGTCACTGATTGCAGTTGCTGTCGCTACTGGACGCGGCCATGAACGACTCACGTCTGTAATGACTAACTAAGTAAGTAAAGTATTTGCATTAGTTCCAAATGAACAACTACATCTTCGTGTCATGAGGAAACAGCTGGCGTTCTCACTTTTTTGTGATATGTAATATAATCAAGGCAACAACAAAATCGACATAAAAAAGTGTATAAAACGTAAAGTGAATTTGCGTGATACAGCTTATATCCTACTTATATTAGAAGATAGTGTGTTTTGAATATTTTTACGAAAGTTTGTACATGCATATGTTGCTTTTAAAGTGGATACGGCCTTTGTTCTCAAGGGACCAAAAACAACAAATCAAACAATGATTTATAAACACGATGATTAAATTATATGAATCACGTTTCCAACTACTACCTGACCAATCGTACATTGCAGATTCGGCCCATAGCGACTGCTAGCTTTTCGCAGACATCCAAAATATACTCAAGAAAAAATACATTTAATATGAATGAATGATTGATGTCCGAGAATCAGTCAAATTTCTAAAAAAATTTGTTGACCAGATATTTATTGTGCTATATGTTAAAATTAATAATAATACATTTTTGGAAAACGTAGCGATGCCATGTCACATAAGTCGTAAAAGTCACCAGTAGCAACTGATTTAGAGTTGTACATTATCTAATGAAAGCATCGTTGAAGGAAAATAATGCCTATATAAATCTTACTGGGACTTAGACCCAGGAAAATCATTAATAACAATACTAAACTTAAACAATCATATATATTAATATTAAAAAAATATATTTTATATGTTAAAAAATTTTATGGCCCACTCTGTAAGAGATGGCCAATATTTTACATACAATTTTGGCTGTGATACAGCTGCTAGTAAAGTTGGTATCACGTTTACTGGATCAAAAGCAACAATGTGTTAAAGTTCTAAGCGCTACTTAGACATATTTAAGCTGAATATGCTGTCAAAAAAAAAATTTTTAGCATCACTAATAATTAATGTAAAGACATTAAAATTTATAGACAAAGAAAAACAGATCCCTTGGACTGAAATACAGATTATAAAACAATTGTTTTTCTATAAAAGAAAGTGGTAATACAATGAATTTTATGACAAACAGTCTAATGCTAAGATAAAAAAATAAAGATGCCATTAACGAAGAGAAATTTGAATTATAATAAAAACGAACAGTAAATACTTCAAGAGAACATAAGATAGAGTCATCATCATTTTGGCATCACAGTCCAGGATGGACCATTGCCTTCTCTACAATACGCCTCCATTCTTCTCTGCATTTCGCTTTTTTTCTGTGATAAGATAGAGTGGTTTACACAAAATTCAGGGTCTAACTTTTAATCGTCTATTGTATTCTAATATTTCTAAGTTATTAAAAAAGTGATATATGAAAAATTATGAAAAAACTACTGAAATTTTTTTTAAAAAATGTGAAGTATGGATAACAGTAATCATTTTCGTTACTGTTTTTAGTTTTAAAGTTTAAGTGGCTTAAAATTTTGTAACTAAAGCTATACAAATAACTCACTTTGACACATCATTTAAAATAAACTACTCATCCTTCTAACTAATTTTTTTAGATATCGAAAATGCTTAAACTGAGGACTCTATTTTATTTTCTAATTTATAATTTTTCTCTCATTATTTGTTGCGCATTTATTCACCAATTGGTTATTTTCGTTTTACTATCTTCTTTTTTTTTGTTTTTTTGGTGCTGTTAGCTGGAATTTTATATATGTAAGAGGTACTTGGAACGTGACCTGCTGATGTAAATAAAGGAGTTTTTTTATAGCTGATATCAGTTCAAATTGGTTTGGTAATTTACATGTAATATGGCATTATAGATAACGCCAGGTAATAAGACATTATGAACCTATACTGAAGATTTTGAAATCACGTCCCACATTTATGTTGCTGGGATAAGGCATACCCTGTTTCTCGATATATGCAAGAAAAATTTGACTTAAATGTATGGAATCAAAACAGCTTTGTTAGTTAATTAAGGAGGATTCGTTCCTCCCTCCACTTCACCTATCCTGACACAATTTTTTCAGTGAACATAAAAAAATATGGGAACAGATATTTGTTCAGCAAAATACATACTAAAATGGTTTGAAGTTCACTTTTTAATAATAATATTTACGTTATTGAAGATTTTATTATTTATTACTTATATAAATATCATCGACATTTCGAATATTATATAGATAATTACTATAATATTGTTGTCAATTTAGATTTTAGATAAAATTCTATAATTTTTGTAAGTATTTTATGAATTTTTTGAATCAATAATAAATAATAATAATAATTACTATATAAAATATATCAAAAATGAAATAACTAATATTTTTTTATTTCATTCTTATAAGCCTTTAACAAGATAAGAAATTAATAATAAACTAATGTAGCTTTAAATCATATATTTACCATCATATTATAAAATTTTATATTAATAAATTGAATAAATAAAAAAAATATTTTAATATTTAATACATTATAAATAAATATTATAAATAATTCAATAGCTATTAAAGTCCTAATATATAAAATAATCAGTTTATTATTATTTACGAACTAATTTAAAATACATTATTAGATAAACAACATATTAGTAAGATAATAACAACAAACAAATAAAAAACCATTTCCGTGCAAAACATAAGCAAATTTAGAAAAACAAATACTAATAAAACACTTTTCTTAATAATCACAACTGATAGAATCTAAAGACTAGAGTTTAAGTTTTATAATAACACATAAATGAGTAATTGTGAAGTCTTATAGTTCAGTTTTAAACGGTTAAGATAAAGTAATTGCCTGCAGAATTATGTTAGTACTACAATATCAGTTTCAAAACAAATCATTACAAAATCTTTAAGTGAAGTAAACAACACTCAACTAATTTTAAAAATTCTGAAACAATTAATTAGAAAAGGAGTAGTGCCAATAGTTGGGGGGAAAGGAAGGTAAGAAATAAATAATTAAAAAATTAAAAGAAATAAAAATCAAATTTATATTTTAGTTTTTTTAAAAAAATTTTACGTTTTTATTTTTATAAAATTATTAAGAAATTTTACAAATTATATATATAAAAATTTTTAAGTATTTACAACATAAATCAAATTAATATATAAAATATAAAAAAAAATTATTTAAAAAAAAACTTAATAAAATTAAAAATACGAAGTGCAGCAACAAAATAATAATTTTTATAATTTTACGTCAAAATATTATAATCTATACAAATTTAGTAATAGTAATAGGTTTATATTGTTATAGAATTTCAATTTTAAATAAAAATATTAAATATATATATTTGTTTTATTATATTTGTAATTAAAATAAACTACAATTGTAATTTTTGTTAATTTATTTATAGTACTCTTTTTTACATTCATTAATTTAAAAAAAAAATATATATAAAATTCTAGAAGAAATTTTGTAAATCTATATTTACTATAAGGTCTATGTGATTAATTAATATATAGTTTTTTTAAGCATATATGCTAAAGCTGTAAAAAATGTGTTATTATTCTGCGGAATGTTTAAATAACGAGGAACTTTATCCACCAAAATAATTTGGTTTTATTATAAAATTAGCATAACTATTTTAATATTATTATTATTTTCTAGTTACTGCCATTTTGAATTGAATTTTATAAGTACTAAAAAAATTACTACTAAAATAATTAAGTAAGAAATTAAAACGTACACGAGTATATATGTATATATATAATAATTTTTCTTCAACAATATTACGTCAGTCTGTCAACTAAATATGTATATACTAAATATTATTAGCATTTAACTAACTTAACTGACACATATTTGAGACAAGAATACAGCTGTTTGTTCTTATAACAGAACCTTGTGATAAAAATTTACCTATACTCCCTAATAAGTATTTTATATATAAAAAATGATTTGATTACATCGCTCTCATGAGGATGGGAATTGATAGTCAAACTTATTACAATGTATGAAAAAAGGGTGAGAACTTAATGCAAAAAATAGGCACGCACGCGTACTAATTTTTAAAATTTTTTATTAAATATTATTAATTAAAATATTTCATTTTTTTCTTAATATTTTCGTACATTTTTAAACAAAAACTCATATGAATTTTATTGAAAAAATTTATGTTTATTTAAAAATATGCAATATGCTTAAAGATATTTCCAATACAAAATATTGTTTGTACTTTGCAGCTTTAAAATTTTTTATTATTTAGATTTTATTAAAATACTACATTTTATTTACGCGAAATGGTAAATAAAAATAGTAAAAATTTTTTCAAAATGGAATAAATGTTTAGATATAATATTTGCAATATTATAATTAATATTTTTATATGGAAATTATTTTAAAATTAAATTAATAATATCGCTTATTCGATTTTATATTCAAGAGATTTTTGCATTCAATATTATTCTGATTTTATAATTTGTCTTTATTAGTTATATATTATAAGTTATATATAATTATATTTGTTTAGAATTAGAAAAATGAAATATATTAAAAAGAAATAAAAATTTAATTTAAAAAGAATATGAATATTTAAAATATATAATTTTGAATTTTGCGCAAATTCTTTGAATTCATTATTAAATTTTGAAATGCTTTGAAGTGTGTTTCTTTGTGTTGCATGAATTTTACGTATATTTGAGTTTGCGTGAGTTTAATAATGATCATTTCATATATTTAATGAAATATGTTTGATAATTATTCGAAAACATAACTATATCGGTTTTAGAAGTAGGACATACACAACAGAGCATGGCAATAAATAGAATATTTTAAAGTCCCTCAAATGAAAAGGGTACTAAATAGTCTACACTCAATATATATAACTGCCAAAAAGTTATTTTATAAATAAATCGTACTAAAACGTAAGGCAAGAGAGAATCTTCTAAGATTAAAAATTTCTTGGAATGTTTGAATTAAACAAACATTTATAAAACATTTTAATTTAGCAGTAAATCAATCTGCTACACCTTTCAGTTTAAAAAAAGATCACATTTTTTTAATTTTTTAAATCTATTCTCGAACAATCGTTAAATTTTTTAACATTTATTGCCAATGATAGAAAACTTAGGTAATTATTCTCTCTTAGGTCAACGCTTAAAGAAATTTCAATATCACTCTTCGTTTAGTCTGATTTACTTGATCGTTCCAACTGAACAGTTCATATTGAAAAGTATAATAAAAATAACATAAATTAAATATAAAATATAACAGTACAAAAAAAAAAAAGAAAAAATTACGGGTAAACAAAAAAAAAACAAATAATAAACAGTAAATGTTATTTATACCGAAATCCGTGAAGCAAGCAAGAATTCATCCCTCACCTGTGGCAAGTAGGATAGACTCTTTGTACTCTCTGCATAACGATTAACAGCACGTAACTCCTCCATAGTCATGCCACTTCCATTGGCAGCAGCACCTGCAGCGCCACCTCCTGTCGAAGAACACGATGATGAATGATGACGAATGCCACGATTGCAACGACTGCAATTTCTCGTTTTAACTGCTGCTGCTATCATATGAGCATTTGATTCTTTTGATTTTGCAACCGATCCGCTTGATTTTTCATTAGGTGTAGAAGTCGCTCCCATATTACAGCGTTCATCAAGACTTTTGGACCCAACACGTAAACGTCGTTGATGTTGTACACGCATTTGCGTTGTTGTAGTTGTCATTTTCTTTTTATTCTGACGATAACGACGCTTCACAATTGCAATATCATCATCATCACCGTTGTCATCAATGTCATCATAATCGACAACTGCTTTGGCACCTTCATTTACGGCACTTTTACGAGATTTTTTCATTTTAATATTTTGCTTTTTCGGCTTATTTTCAATATCATCATCGTTGCTTATTTCTAATTCAGCAGCAAAATCATCTTCGTCATCATCGGCGTAATTTTCCTCATCGTCATCTATATCGTCGTCATTTTGTTGCATATCGTGAGTATTACGTTTTGGTATTGGTGATGAGCTCAATGCAAAAAGGCCAGGACCCTCCAGTGAAACAGAGAGCCGTGCACATGATTCAATGAAAGAATGTTCTGGTGTTACGCCCAAGGAAAGTACGCTGTTGTCTAAAGCTGAACTCGAACTGGTTAATAGAGCAGGTGTTGAACGAGATTCCTCTTGGGCTACTGTAATTCGAGATATTGGTAGGTGTAAGGAAAGAGAGAGAGAGAGATTTGTTTCGTTTTTTAAAGGATTTTTTTTTTTTGATGGCTTAACAAATAAATAATAAAAGAGAAAAATTCCAAAATCACATGATAATGCAAACTAAATTCCAAATAGCTTAACACAATATAAATAATGAGAAATGATAGTGTAATATTAAGCAACCTACTACAAACCAGAAAACCCCATTTATATTTAAATAAGAAGACAATAAGCAATAAGCATTAGGAAAAAAAAAAATATTTGTATTATTTAAATAAAAACCTCCTGTTAATTATAAAGATAGATTTTGTTAAATATTAGATTTATATTAAAAATGTTAGTAACATTAAAAAAAATACTAAAAATATATTTGTAAAATGTTAAACACTTACGTAGTCCCCATCGTTCACATTGGCATTGTAACCAAGTCTTTTCAGCCTCTAAAGAGTGTTGTACTGTAAAAATAAAATAGGAATTAGCTTATTTAAAATAAAGTTAATTATTTCATCTGAATAAAATTAAAAATAATTAAAACTAGCCATTTTTATAAATGTTAAAGCTTACTAATAATTAGCTACCTAAAAATTCTCTACACAATTTATATAGCTACTTTAGGCTCCCTATAATTCCAATTATAATTCCAATTCCAAGGAAATCTAGAAACCGTTCGAATAATGGAAGTTTTGCTTTATCGTGTTTTTGTTTATTTTTATTTTGAATGTATATATAAAAAAAGGTACTGTTAACTTTTATTATAATTAATTTATTGAGCTGCGAAACAAATTTTTAAAAATATTTTCTAGTATATATAGAAATTAGATATATACTAATTTGTTTCTATATATAGAAACAAATTTTTAAAAATATTTTCTAGTATATATAGAAATTAGATATATTATTTTCTCCTTTCTAAATTATATTCTCCTTTGCTCCTATTTTTACAATATAGGCCAAATGATGGTAAGGGGAATTTTTATTAATTTATAAATTTTTATATAAAAATTAATTCCGCATTAAAAAGGAATCATAATTAAATTGTAATCAGTAAAATTGTAAAAATCACTAAGATTTTTATAAATATGTTTAATTTGAACATCACACAATATTACAATCATAAATAGAAAAATGTTTCTATTGTAATTACCAAAATATAATATATATAACAATATTTAATATATATTAAATAATATATAATTTAATTAAAAAGATAGTAAATATGGGATTACTAAGAAATTCTAATGATATAGAAAAATGCAACCCATATAACATATTTCTTAAAGATACACTCAAATTAGTAATAATAAATAATATTGTATATTAAGCCTTTCGTATATATAAAATGAAAAAAAATTCATAAAAAAATGTGAAACAAAACAGAAAAAAAAATAAAGTATGAAAAAATTTAATATTCATTATAAAATTACATTAAATTAAATTTATATTAAAAAAATTAATAATTAAAGTATAAAAAAAGTAACTGCTTTAATGCAGTTAAAGTGACCTCACACTGAATACTTATAAAATTTAAAGTAATTTAATTTTACACAATCTATAGCATTTTTTATTATAGTATAATTAATTATTATTTATCATTTGTCTACGTTCTTATCTAAATAGTTTTTTTGTATTTATAATCTCTCAACAATTCAAAAAACTACATTACAATTCTTATCAACACATTAAATTAATGTATAAAGTATAATACTTTATTTGTGATATATACAATCTGAACTTATAAGTACATAAGTTTAAAAATAATTTTAAAATCTTACATGCATATTTTTGCTGTGCTAGTTTCTCTCTTGGAGGTGGTGGATGTTGGAAACTGCATATCCACTCGTCTTGCACTTTAAGTATACGTCCTGTCACTCGGGCATAGTATTCATAATTATCGCGTCCAAAAAGATCGTGTGTTGCAAATTTATCAATTATATGTTTCATAATTTTTGTCGCGACCTGGAATTATAATACATTATTATAAAATTATAATAACATATAGTGTGTGACGTTATATGTACTCCTACCTTAAATTTAAGTACATCCTCCATACGAGCAGTTTTTCCATCACTAACACAAGATTGAAAGAAGCTAGGCGCAACTGATACTCCCAGTGCTTCACTAGTCATGCCAGTACCTGCATGTGCAGCATTACTTGCAATAACACGGAACGTTCCGAATAATAACACCAACAGATGTTGAGTATATATGGGCAGTGAAATTAATAATCTGTAAGAAAAAAATTTTAATTATTATTTTTGAATATATTTATCTAATAATATAAATATTTAAGAAAAATAATAAAGATAATAGAATTATTCATAATAATTATAATAATTAATTAATAATTAGTTAATAATAATATTAATAATTATATTAATGGCTTAAAGCATCAGTAATAATTTAAGGTTATCGATGCCCTAAAATAAATCAAAAATAAATTACTTTTAAAACTTAATAAATTGTATGGATAATAGGTCGGTCTCTGGACTTTTTTAGCATTCAAAAAAAAGTGCATTTTATAAGTAGATAATTGGAATTGATTTTAAATTAATTTATTTATAATCAAGCCTGAAACAGTGGAATATCAAATCGTCATCTTAACTAACCGCATGTGATGATATAGCAAAAGGTAGAGGCACAGCTATTTTGCCTTTTAAGAATACAGTAAAAACGGTACATACAACTTGTTCGATTTTCATAGAATAACAAACAAATGATTTATAACAAATCATAAAGTTTAATTGTATAAAGCTTCTCTATGTTTCCTGGAGCTTATTGTTATGAAATTATGAATAACTAATGAAAAATAAATTATAAACTCAACATCAAGATAACTAAATAAAATATATCTACTTTAGAATATATAAGAAATAAAAGTTAAGAACTATATATGTGCAAAACTATAGCAAAATGTCAGTTTCAGAAGTTAGCACACTCGTTTTTACACATGTGTATACATAACTTTAGTAAGTAGACTATATATTTATCCATAACAATTTATTGATTTATGGAGTAGCTTATTCCACTGGTAGCAACGATACTCGTCATCCATAATCGAGTGTCGCTTACAACTATAGTTTATGTTTCACCGTTGACAGCACGGTAACCCAAAATTAGAGTTCTGTAGAATAGTATTGTTATTTATACATAATATATAATATAAAAAAGTATATTAACTAAAAAAAACTATACTGTTTAAATTGTTTAGGAGTACTCTAGTACACGTCCTTCAATAGAATATGACCGTTAAAAAGAATCGTTCAGAAGAAGAGAAAACCAAACAGAAGTAATTGGGCTGCACCAATAAAATAAATGATAATGTTTCCTTTTTGTTAGTCTATAAATATTAAAAGCTATATCATAACTCTGTTCAATTTCCTGAATGGGAAAGAAGTCACCAAGATTATATAAGAAACTAGAAAAAGATTGTTTTAAAGATTAGAACTGATTCATAGCTGTAACGCTAAGAATGATTATGATAGATAATAATAATTATTCATATCATAAAAATAAAACTGGTATAAATATTACTAATTTTGTACGTTATTTTTTGTTAATTGTATAACTAGACACTAATAACTACTTGATAGAAACATACTTAGAGTGAAAATACTTTCTGAAAAATATTGTAGAAGTTGTGGAGGTGTAAAATATCGAGAAACAGTATAACAGTTATTCTTAGTTTTAGCCAGATGCAGAACAAACTTCTTATGCAATTATATATTTATCTCACTCACAGAACAGTTCAGTTCGATAAGTTTAAAAACATACCGCTGTTGATTATGGTCTCCAAATGGTAGTGGCGTCATTCAACTAACTAAACTATCGTTTTTGTGATAGTTTTTTTATAATGACAAATCGTTACGTACGAAACTGGAAATTTTCATGAAACAAGCTATCACAAATACGATAGTAATCGAATTTCCCCATGAATTTTTTAAATATGTAATTGGTTTCTTCACGAAAAGACTGTAGTAAACATGATAGTTTCACTGAAATATTAAAAAAATATCACAAATTTAATATAAATAAGGTAGCTCTCGTTTATTGGTCTTTGTGATATAATTTCTTTAATGAAAATATTATCGAAGTGAGTTGTTTAGTGCCGCAGTAACCTCGCCTAACCTGGTTTTGATTTTGATATTAGGAATTATCACAAGGATTATGAGGAATACTCAAATTAGTCAGTAAGGTGGGTGGGACTCTGCACAAACCCTCCAGCCATCTTAGAGTAAAAATGTCTAGATGCACTAACTCAGAAAAGGCTCAATCAACATAACATTTATTATAGGAATTATTTTCATATTAGAAATTATTTATAACTAGAATCTAAATTTTAGAAAATTGTAATTATAAGAATAAAATAAAAGAAATTAAAAATTTAAATACCGGAAATAAGATAGAATCTTGTCTATTAATCTTGAAAAATTACATTTCTCTATTTATTAAAATTTATGACACTAAGGGAGAAGTTGTAAAATATGATTCATATAATTTTAAAAAACATTTTGTTAAATTCAAATAGAAAAAGCAATTGCATAAAAATGACTCATTACTATTTGAAATGCTTAGCAGGGTCTACAAAATAAGGTAATAAAAACAGTGCGATTTAATTAAACTTTTAACAATTACGTTGATATAATACGCAAATGCAAAAAGTAGTAACACTTTCTTTTTAGAGGTGATAAAAGTTTTAAAATTCAAAGCCTGTACATAAAGACCGACTGACCGAATGAGTTTACACAATCAACCAAAAAAGCTACCAGTTACACATAAATTTAGTTTAAAAAAAGAAAGTGAAAATAGCGTTAATATTATAAATACAAAACGTTTCCATAAAAATTAAGTAAAGAAAAATAAATAAAAAAAATTTTTTCTTGATGGTCAAAACCATTTTAACAAATAACTTTTGAATTTTAACAAATTAAAAATAAATAAAGAAAAATAAATCAAAATAAACAAAATAACCGTACAATAGCGTAAAAGTTTAAACATAACATCAGACAAAAAAAAACCCACAAAATATATTTTGTGAATGAATTTTATTTACGAGTATCTACGAATGCGACACTTTATTAAAATTATTCATAAATAATACACTCGATCATCAGTTAACACGTTTCTCGCCTTTTTTCCTCTTTAACTTATTAATAATAATAGTGACTAAAAAGACAATCTTCCATATGCCTTACAAGCAGCATTGCGAACAATGGAGTGCGTATGGGAGAAAAGTTTGAGTCATCCAATTTAATTTTAAAACTATTCTTGTAACTCATTGTGAAGTATAAATGAATGAATATAATACCCAGCCATTATAATGAAATGACAATTATATTATTACAAAGACGTATAAAAGTTTTTGTATATCTATGTAAACCATTACTTCTGGACGTATTATTCGGAATTTCGTAATTGTTCAGAAAAAGGTGAACATATTTCATTCATTTTAGAATATATTAAATATGTACTCATATATATAAACAGATTATAATACAACAATAATAACAATAAATAATAGCAATATGTTATAATCCTAACTATATTATAATATAAATTTACGGATAGCCTATTTATATACAAATAAAAGTATACGTTACAATAGTCTGGAGATAATAGAGCAGATTATTTATAGTCTAAAAAACAAATACTGTTAGTAATATGTATACATTTATATGTTAATACATTTTTTATATAATGAATAATAAAGAGGTTATAAATTTTATTAAAATTATATTATAAAAATGATAATTTTAAAAAAAGCATTAGAAAAAATACACATAAATAAAAACAAGAATACTAATGGACTTTAGTTTATACTGAATATATTATTACCATTATTTATTAGTTTTTTCTGTACTAATAGTACTAGTTTTTGTATTTAAAAATTCAGTGTTTTCTAATAAAATAGTATAAATCCAAGAAATAATTCTTTGTATCCAGGAAAAAAAAAACTATATGGCAGAAAAGTAAGAAAGTCCAGTTTTAATATTTACTGAGACATATGGTGTCAAAATAAGTTTACCATATACACACAGCCCCACCTACATGAGTTTTTTTCTGTTTTTTCCAACTACATTCTACATAGTATTTTGTTGGAAAACAGCACTAAAGCTAATTCTCTTATATTTTCATCCATATTTTGAGCTAAAAATTTATTTTTATATTTATTTTTCTCTTGCTCCTTGAAAGCATTTATTGAAAATATTGAAAATTTTAATCATAACTTTGATTTTTACTTATCTTACTATCTTACTAAAATAAATGAGCTTATTTGAGCATTGAAGCAAGTGGTGAGTGGAGTGAAAAGGTTAATTTTAAAACTAATAACAATTGTGACATGGCTGTGTTGAAGGAAGTATTTATTTACTTAGTATGATAGTACAGTAACTCATTATTATTCCTATTATAAGACATATATCTGCGAAGTACATCAATTCATTACTAAATAATATATGATTTTTATCATCAGTCTTTTTTTGGTACACTTCCCTATAGTAAGGTCTCTACTAGCTTCTATGTGTGCTTAACATTATGGCTATGTTACTAAATTTGTGATAAAATTTTAAGCTGTGATTATATTATTTAAAATTGGCTGCAATTGACCAAATCATATCATTACTTTGCTAAATTTCAGTAAATTTACTAATAGACTAAATAGAGCTAAAAGAAATAGAGAAGTTTAATAAAATGAATGCTGTAGATATACCATATTGTTGTGATAAGTGATCAGTTTGAAACTATATGAAATATATATTACTTATATATTACTTTTATTACTAATAAATATTATATTTGTTATTGTCAACCATTGATTTAGCAAATTCACAATTCGCATGGAATGAACAATTTGTTGAATTTGAAATTTTATACACAGTTTGCATATAGCATATATGAAATTTTAAGATCGTGGATTATGAGCTGTTAAAAAGAATTTTTTATTGTTCTAAATTTTTTGTTGCTAATCTCAAATTCACGAATGATTTTTTGCGCAGTCTTTTCTTAAATCGAAAATTTTATTAAATCGAATGAATAGGTTATAGAATCCTGTAGTTTTAAGTCAAGAAGCTATTTCGTATACAGTGTCAATTGCAATTTTCTGTGGTCTTTGAAAGCATATGATGCTCCATATATGATTTTTGGACAGCAAATGTCAGAAATTTAGCCCTTTTAAATTTCGAGTATTAATACAAGCTGTTTAAACTTGAATCAACGTAAGCCTAACTTGC